TAGTAAATTAATAGTAAAAAGTAAAAAGTGCAGTTAAATAGCGCGCGCGGAACGCGCGTCTGTAATGCTAGTATAATAAAAAGTAAAATATAGTTGGCAAATTTAATACGTCAAATGTGTATTTTGCAAAACCGTGGCGAAGCCGAGGTTTTTGCAAACGGCGGGGGAGGGGGGGCGCGCCCGACTTTTGCAAAACCGAGGCGAAGCCGAGGTTTTGCTGGTCGGGGCGCGCATCAAAAACAGATTATTATTTGATTATTATTATTATACACAATTTGTTGTTATATTATTATTTATTGTTATTCTGGTATATTTTTTATTATGTATGATAATTATAAAAAGATTATATTTTTATTGTGATTAACTTTAAGGTTATACGCTGTTGAATTAAAACGCCGGGACAACTGTCAATACTGCTATAAGAGCATGGGCTACAGAAAATAGCTCGTCAGAGTGCGCTGCAGTTCGAGCAGGCCCTAAAAGTCGCTCTTTCTGGCGTCTCGGGCGGCCAGAATAATCATACTTTCGGCGGGTAGATCAAGAAAATATTATAAATTGATCTTGATAAATTTCTTCTCGAAAAAATAAAGAATTGTCATTCGTCTTGTTATCTCCCTTTTAGTGATGGACCAAGGAACTGTATAGAATATAAATAAATAGATATAAATAAATTGATATAAATAAATTGATATAAATAAATTATGAAGTATTATAATAATGTTGATTTAGCCTATAACTAATGTATTGCAGAAATGAAATACGGTATGATGTGTATGAAAGTTATGTTAGCAACATTGATACGAACGTTTATATTCAAAGTAAATAAAAGTATTAAGATAGGTAAAATAAAATTGGTATTTGACACACTATTATCTACTAAGAAGCTTGGATCCCTATTAGTGTGCCTGTTCCTATTAGTGTGCTTTTATATTTAAATAAGTAAAAAAATAAACTGGTACAAATAAATAGACAAAGTATTTTTTTAAAATTAAGTTAAAGTATTAACGTACATAATACCAAAGATTATATTCTATTTTTTAACTGTTAAAGTATAATAAATATTTTTTGAATGGTGCATGTCACGATTTAGAGGAATTAACTTGAATGTCTTAGCAAAAACGATAAGAAACGCTTACTCGAATAGAAGTGAATAAATTGATTATTAACATAATTTACATCATGTAAAATGTAAATTATATCATAAATTGGTTTAATTTAATAAAATAGTGAAGTACCTAAATACTTTAGAAGTATTTTATGTTATTTATTATATGAGTCCAATAATACCGCAAGATTTTAAGGCTTGTCCCTAGATCGGAAGAGCACACGTCT